TCCCACAGTAGTTTTCAAGGACAAACATACACATTTCTTGTAATGTTCTTCCTCACAAAAGCACTAGAAGGTACAATTATTGAAACGTTAGCGAGAAAGGGAAAAGCACAAATGAATAAAATGCAGCTAAAAGCATCATTATCTACTCTTTGATTTGACATTTATTAAGTTTAGGAGTTTATGATTGTTTCAAATAAAACTGAAAAAAAAGAAAAGGAAACTTCAGCACATCACCTCATCTCACATGGACCTTCCCTACTTCCAAACAACCAGTTAACTTTTCAACATTATTTCAATTTCAACATTTCCTGCATATTGCAGGAAAGTAAAAAACTCTTCACTTTCTCTACAGGAAGGAACACGTTGCAAAGATGAGGCCTAAGAGAAAGATTACTACACATTACTCACTTACAAATAAGCATAATTTACGCACAAATTTATATACAGCTACAAAACCAGGCCGAGAAACACCCTGGAGAGGGTGCCACGTAGTTCAAATTCCATCTAATCCATCAAGAGATGGCCCCACACACACATGGACCCTGAACAGAGTTCATTTTGCCTCCCAGCTGAGCCATCAAACATCACAGCTCTGACACCACCAGCCCCTTCCTCACCACAGGAGCGCACTGGGCTTCAGCAGACAAGCTGGTGGTTGAGCCACCACCCCTGGAGATACTTAAGTCATGTAGATGTGGCACTTGGGGGACATGTTTTGGTGGTGGCCTCGGCAGTGCTGGGTTCACAGTTGGACTTGCTGATCTCAGAGGTCTTTTCCAACCTAAATGATTCTATGACTCGTGACCAAGAGCTGCACTGACGATGTAAAGCTTAATGCTGTGGGGATGCTGTACTAAGCTGTGGCATCACAAAATTAACATTCTGAATTTGCAGAATCGAGGCTTGGGGAGCAGAAGGAGATAAAATTCAACAGAAAGGAAAATTAGAATGAGTATGAGATGTGCATGCAGTAAAGGCAGATGCTTCCTAACTCACACTCTTGAAAGAGCTTTACAAGTAGGCAGCTCACCTACCTAATGGGTGCTCGAAGGGCCTAAAAAAGACAGCACAGACAGCATTAAATTTCATTAACTCACACACAAAGTTCTGTCACTATATGAGCAGCAAATCGTGTTCTGAATGTGGTTAATCAGCCATACAATGAGAACTGAGAGGGACAACCATAAAAATAAACGCAAGCATTTCAAAAGCATTTCTTTCTAATGCTGGTTTGGGAAAAGGACCTATGCTTAAATTTTATTCACTGATAAGTGAACTCCTCCCTACCAATTTAGCCAACCAGTTAACAATGTTATATCACACTTCCTAAGGAGATACCATTAACTCAGTATCACAGACCAAGGGAGAAGATTAAAACATCCTAATTACAGAGAAATGAATAACATCAAATGGGTAAAGATAATTACATAATTCAACAGAAAATTAAGAAGGTTAAAGCACTAAAAATTTAATCAAAACCAAAGTAACAAAATAAACATAAAGTTACAAATTACAAGACATCGATTTGACTTCTAAATGTAAACACGAACTTTGGATTTTTGTCTTGTACAAACACAAAAGTCCAAAATAAGACACATTTTGTCAGTGAAGAATCAATGTACATTTATGAACTTTCTAGTCCATCCAGTTCTCTATTTTCCCTAAAACCTTCAAAGTGAGGATTCTGAGGCATCTATTCTGAACCACTTCGTGAGCCTGCCCTGTGAGATTTGAAGGACTACTTATGTTGGCACAAAGCAGGACACAGTGACCACACCATGGAAACAGCAAGGCTCCCTCCAGAGAGCATTGCAACAGATCTTCAGTGGGTAAAGAAACAAGGTATTAACATCAAAACCTTTTGCTGCATGATGGTGAAATAGCTGCACAACTCCCTTTATACACTGAAAGGAGAACACTCAACCTTCAGAACCTTCATTCCACACCCAAACACATGCACAAGCTGGTAGCACTGGAGCCACAAATGAGAAAACCTCTTTTGACCAGCAGGTAACATCAAATTGCAGCAGCAAGGCCGTTCACATGGCTGCATTATCCCATTCTAAAGATCCTGTCAGTGACTCTACTCAGCCTGACACACAAAAGAGAAGTGAGCCCAGGCTGAGTTCTCCTCGGCACTTGCCTGCAAGATTGTCCCCTGGCAAACAGCACCAGGAAAGATGAAAGCTGAACGGATCATCTGAAATTACTTGTCAGTGTCCCACATCTCACCCCAAATGTCACAAATTCATAATTACTAGAGCATCAGGAGACACGAGAAAGCACGAATGGCTTACCTGGAAAATGAGAAGGCAGTAACTACAGCAGATGATTTCCTCCACTTTTTAATATCCCAGTGATTTTCTGAGCTTTAATAAGGCATCTCCTCACCTAACATCTGCCATTCAACAAAAGGCTTAACCCAGAAAGAAATTTTTAATACTAGCTCCTTGTGGGACCAAACTGATACATTTTAGCCCATTTCTTTCTAATAAATGCAATGATTTTAATCAAATTTGTTCAGAGAACAGAAGATTAGTTAAAGAAGAGAAGTAACTGAAACATTAAATTAAGGTATCATAGGGAATTAAAAATTTAATTTTCTGCTATTATCAGTGGTATATTATGAATAAAGAACACACAATATGCAATTAATATGCAGCACAATATGAACAGCATTTGAGAAAAATGAATTTCATATGTAGGACAAAAAAGGAGATGAATTCTTAAACCCAATCCAATTTGCTTTATTCTGTTCAATTTTCCCACCGGCATCTGTTTAAATACTTGCAGGTAAGGAGAAAGTCACTACTAAATTCTGAGATATTTTAAGGTGATGACGGTTGATGACAGGCAACACGATATTTCCTATATTTTGTATATTTCCTATACAAATTGAGGTATTACTGCTGTAAGCTTGCTTTTGTTCGAGTAGATAGCTGCTTCCCACATGGGGCTCCATGGAAAGGAACAAGACCAAGACCAGCAGTTTGTAAGTCAAACAGTAGAATTATGCCACTAATTAAAAAGTTAAAATATTCTTAAAACTTAATCTAAATTCCCAGGTTATCTAAGGTTAAAATGTGCTATTCAGGTTCACCAGTCAATGCACAAAATTACATTTTCCTAAGCCATTCACTGTTCTGTGTATGGATATTTTGAGGCAGAAGAGAGGAAGCAATGTAGTATCAGACAAGCAGCACTTTTTTCCTGTAGGTATCAACAAGATGAATAGGAAAAGTATCCAGAAAATAAGGCAAATATGCTGCATGTTAAAGAATGCTCTATTTGACTTAAAGGCATCTGCATTTGTACTTAGTTGAAGTTATTTTTATTTGATCAAGACAACTGAGACACTGCCAATTTGCTTGATTTCAGCATTTTTTTCAGCACTAATATTGCTAAGGATTTAATTAAGTTTTTCTTAGCTCACCCTGATTACCACATAGGTTTTGAATTCATGGGTATTTGAAACTCTTCAGAAAACAAACAGCCCATAAAAAAGTTATTTTTATTGCCACTTGACTCCACTCAGGTGCAACTGCATAAAACAAGCCAAGTGCAGGTGGCATGGGCACGTTCTGGCTTTGTGGTGGGTTTGGGAGTCTGTTTTCAGATTCCTTAACTTTCCCTTTCCTGTCACTTCCATTTTCCTCCTCCCCAGGCAAGCAGATTCTTTAACACACTGGAGCTCAAACAAAAACTGTATACATGGAGTCCTGTTTTGTACATTAAATACATATGGAAGGAAAGATTCAGTCCACCAGAATTCTGCAAACCTCACGTTCAGAATCACAACAATGAACTCTATGTATGTAGTAAGTTTAAGTTGGGGTTTTTTTTGGTTCAATCCATCCAGCCTAATTTAACAAATTGACAACTATTTGCTTATTCCATGTTCTCTATTGCCATTTTACTTCCAACAAATCCTGTTTCGTGCTCCTTGAAATGCATCCAGCTGAACACTCATTTTTGACAACCAGCATTTCTAGAGGGCAAATGTGATCACCCAGATTGACCTTCTACACTGCACAGGCCAAAGAATTCAACTCAGCAATTTCTGCATTGAGCCCACATGCAGCTGGCAGAGCTAGATCACGTATTTTATAGTGATATACAACCTTGTTTTAAATATTCAAACCAACAGCAAAAACCATAAATTGGTTAATTACTGTTTTAGATTTCTCTGCCTATAGCTGTGACCTTCATATTCACAGAACTAGTGGACTCATTTCTTCCATACACTTAGTACACAGGTTTGAATTTCCAGCTTATTCCCCAGGTTCAGGCATTTGATAAATCCTCTCCACTTCAAAAGACAGCCTTTATTTCCCATCAGTTCTGAGGCCTGATAATGGACCCAAATTTTCTTAAATGCAGAAGGAAACACAGCAAGACACAGCTATCAAACAAGTTCTGTAAACAGGCTTATTTATCCACAAATAATGTGCAGCAAAAGCAGGAAGTATTGAAAACTACTCACTGCCAAAGTTATGCTGGGAGATCCCTGCTTAGGAGTATTGCTGCAGCTCAGAGATCAATAATTCTGGGCTTAAGCTTGTCAAGTCAGTACATTACATCTCATGCATCAAACTGCTTGACACTGATAAGAAAGAAGATGCAGTTTCAAGAGTCTCATCAAGAGTTTTCATGAATGGGCGGGTGACAAAGTAGTTTCTTCAGGGGTCAGGTACAATGAATATTGAGACACCTTTTTTTTTTCCGTATAAAAGGAAAAAAAACTCCAGATACATTTGTAAAATTCCAAGTGCAGGGATTTGGGGTTATTTGAAGTTACAAAATCAGTTGCATGCTCTGACATAAAACTACAGACACCACACTTATGTCACAGAACCACACAGCTGGGACATAAGATATTATGTTCAAAGACCGATCAGCTCTTGGCAACAGGGACCGAGGTGACACTGACCTCCTACAGTGAGAATTACTCACATAGTTCTGTTCATTAACTTTCAAGTACAGTAGCTTTGGACAATTACCTGTTTCTGGGCTCTCCTGAAGAGGATCACCCTGCCATCAATCTCATTTTGGGTGTTTGCTGAGCCATCAACTAACTCAGTGTCCTCAGACAGGCTGACCCATCTCTGTATGTTCCAGTCTTGCTCGTGCCCAGAGATGATATAACCAAGCCTGAGAGGAAGAAGCCAAGATAACACTTAAAGCATATTACCAGGAGTCTTTCTTGGATCATAAACACCTAAATTAAGATCCAAAGGAAGTCTTTAACAAGCGGGCAAAACAATTCAACTGAAAATACGTCCTTTATTTTGCTGCTGCTATCCAGATGTCTTCTGCCAAAAAACAGCCTCTTTTTTTTTTCCCATTATGTTATAAGCATAAACATGTTTACATATACTCACTCTGCATGCATTCTTGAGTTAACTTTGCTTCAGTCTTGCTCAGAAAAGATAAATAGCTCTGCTTTTCTTAAAATAAGGGTGAGTGTACACTGAAGAGACGTTTTCTTGAGAGAATTACATGGCTCTGAAAACTTCATAACTAAATTTTAAGCCATAATGCTTCTATTTTTTAAAAGTATTTAGCTATAATTTGCCTTTACCTTATCCCTTACTTCATAACTGCAATTACTGTAGATGATCAAGTCTAAGAGAAACAAAGCAGCACAGTAAAACAAAGCAAAAGGCAGCAAAATATTTCAGTGATTAAATTCTGCTTTGGAAATTCATATTCACATATGACTTGGTAACCTAAGAGCAAACAGGAAATCTGCAGATTAGGAATATTTTCCTAGGCACATTTCATTGAAAACTAGATATCTTTTGAGACATTTACTTACTGCTTGACTTTTTTAATTCTTTACCCCTGTAGAGAGCTATAAAGAAGTGTGGCATGTTTAACTGATTAGACAGATACTTGCTGACTCAGCCTAAACAGAGTTTAAAACTTTTGCTAAATCCAGCTCTTAGGACTCAAGGCCTGTCAGAAAAAAAACAAAACAAAAGTGTATATATTATGGTTTGAGAATAAACAGATACATGGACACTATTTATTTTAAACTACTGAAAAGAGTATTAATTGGGTTTGCATTCACAGTACAGGTGTGCTGCTGGAATGCAAACAAGCCCAGATTATTCAGAATGAAGGACAAGTAGTGATTTTGAAGTGTTAATTAGGAACACAAGGGATATGAGAGCATAGTGGAAACAAAATGAATGTGCTGATTGTGAGAAAAAGAGAAACCTTTTAGAACAGAGCATCCAGAATAACACTTGCAGTAAAGACAGAAATGTGCAATTGGCAAAATAAATTGGGTACATCTACAGTGCCTACAGAAAACCCCATTTTGTGCAGCTCAGACCATCCTTCTGCAACACAGGACCTACAGACTCATCAGGTTTGTCACAGGCCAACTGCATCTCTGATAGAAATCAATAATGGTTTTGTCATTGGAAAGAGATACCTAATATAAAAATGAGCTTTTTTTCCACATAAATTGTGCAACTCCCATTAAATCAGAACCATAAGTTAGCTAATGCATCTGTAATAACAGCACAAGTAGTATTTGCTATCTGGATTTTTGGGAAATATGCAAACCAACATCTTATTTTGAAATGTTTAAGATGCAAGAGATACTATTAAGTAACAGTTTACCTCTACTGTTCACTTCTATTGAACTTTCAAGCCACAAGAGCTTCAACATAAAATTTCACTTTCTCTGATAAAATCTTCCATGCACCTTCTATTTGTGATGCCTTTTTCAACCATAAAACAAACAAACAAAGAAATCAAACAAGACTTAGAAACAAATTGTAAAGGAACACAATTCTAATGCAGATTATCACAAATTATAACATCAATTTAATCCCACTAATATTAATGAAATGCAATAGAAAAAGTGATGCATATCAGAAACTTCTGCTGTGTCCTCATGTGGAGCTCCTGGCTAGAGGGAAGTTCAGACTGACTTGTTCAACACAGCACACTAATGTAATATGGCACCAATAAAAGGGGCTTGTTCTAAAATAAAATCTTTACAATCAAACACCACATCAGGTTTTACTCATTTTTTAAGACATGGGAATCACCAATTTTGTTACATTAACACATAAGACCAGAAACTATTAACTCCTACTGAAAGTCAAACAGCAACCCCTGCACAAGCTCTGTACTGGCAAGACAGCCCTGCTCAGGAGCCAGAGAATCACATCAGCTCATCTTATTCCCATGCCACTGTCTCAGCACACTGCTAGGGCAGAGGACCACAGATTCATGCCTGCATGAATCCAAACCAAATTTGCTGTCTGCCACCAACCTGAAGCAGATACAGGTTTATCGGAGCATCGCTGACTAAACTCTCCATCCTGTGAGTGCTCTGCCATCCTGTCAGAGCTCTTGGTGTGTACTGCTAAGAAGGAGATGTACAGCTGCACACAGCAACAATCAACAGATTTGTCCCCTGCTGCTTCAAAGCTGTTATCCAAATCTACGAATCTCCACATCCCTGTGCTCCTTTATCAGAATGGAACGTAATAATACAGATTGAAGCCTCTGGATAATTCAATGAAAAGCTGCATTCTTTCTTAGTTAAGAGGATCTGCTTAGAGTATCATCTTCCAGAATCCACTGAAAGCCAGCAAAAGTAATCAGGTAAAACACTGCCTTCTGGAACACATCGATTTGCTCAAATTCAAGCACACTTTTCACTATGAACTCTGTATTGAGCTCCTCCTCAAAACAACAAACAAGAGAACGGTTACTTCTCAATCTGATTTTCAGAAGAAAGATAGATGGTCTGTGCCTCTGCAAAACCATTACTGCTGTATTGACAGCATTCACAAACTCTGAGAAAGAATTATAATGAAACAAATACTGCACAGATTAAAAAGCATTCCAGATTGTTTTAAAAAGAAAAACAACAACAAGAAAATTGAAACACCCAAGAATTACTGCTTTCCCCCTCACTTCCTACAAATCCTAGACCATCCGTGTTATGTCTCCATGTACACTTTTGTGGGCAAGGAAAGAAAATCTCAGACCACAAGTGGCTTCAGTGGCTTAGTGAACCTTAACCTGCCATAAAATCAAGACCAAGAAAAAAAACACCATTTGACTGCTGTTTCAGTTCAGTGGTCATTCTAAACTTAGCATGCCATAATCTAACACAGCCCAGAAAAGGTTCACAGGGCCTTTTCCACGGCAAGTAGAAAGATCTGATGTCCATCTGTTCCATAGAGTTTACAGCATAAACTGACCTCCCCATCACAGAACCCTGAAGATGATGCATGAAGGACAAATGCAAGCTAAGCAGCTTCAGAGTGTTTTATGATGTTACCCGTATTCCAGGTTAATATGAGATCTTTATACTGGTACATTACTGTGTCTGAGGCCACTGGAGTTATACTGCAGCTTCTTTACCAGATTGCATTATATTTCTTCACAGTTCCTATCTGCTTTCAAATTTAAGCAAACCCCAGGGAATGCAGCCGTTCGGTATTTTTGTTGATAGCTTTGCTGCTCTGCCGCCATCTCTCTCAAGAGAGCTTGTTAGGTGTAATACCTCTAAGAAAAGGTTTAAGTAACAGTTTGTTCCAAGTCCTGAGAAAAGTAAAAATAGTTTTAATTATGCTCTCATTTCCATGCCAAGCCGTCTTCTTTACTGTGACATCCAACTACATTCTGCACTGCAACAGATTTTGAGAAACAAATGAAAAAACATCCCCAGCTCCTTAAGCTGGGAAGGCAGTTTTATTTATCCAGCAGTAGGTATCTGAAACGACTATCATAAAGATACCATAAAAACAGTCGAACAGATATTTCTTATTGCAAAGGGAAATGAGAGAAAAATCTGCAGTATAGCTTGAAGACAAGTCTTCACAGCTGCATTCGTCAAGAGTCAGATGATTCTGGATATATACATTCAGTATAGGAAAAACACAAACTAAAAACAATAGGAAAAAGAAAGGAAGCAGACTTCTCCCATTGGGTTGAAGGAACTAACATTGCTGTAAAAACTAAAAAACAGGGCACTGTCCCTTCTTATTGCAAATGTATTCCTACAAACATTGCAGAACCACCAAATGATTCAAAACTAAAATGCAAAGGGTCACATCCCCTGTCAGCTGCTCTGTCTGCCAGAGGCTTCAGTTCTGCTCCCAGCCTTTGCTTTATTTCTACTCATGTCTCAACATGTACCTATGAGGCAGATTTTTCTGTGTGTTAAGAGGAAGGCAACTAACGGATAAATGAAGACATGAGCACAGACATAGAAAAGCCAATAAAAAGTAAAATGGGGGAAAGTGGAGTAGTGTCATCTTATGTATTAAAGGAAAAGTTCTGAAATGATTCACCAACATAATTGTCTTTCACATGAGGTAAACTGAGCTCATGAAATTCTACTTCCAAAATCCAATCTATCATTTATGAACAATATTCACCATACAGCTGTTGACTATAATGGTTATAGTACTATCTAAGATAAAGGATATTTATCTGAAAAAAGTCACACTTTGTAAAAATAATTGCTAACACACAGTTTGTAATAAATGTTACTCACAACAAAACCAAAAGGTCTGCAGTGACAAAATCCCAGTGCAGAGTTTTAAGACATCTGGCTTAGCTGATTTTGACAGAGGGCACAGGTGGACTTGGAGGAGTCAAGGTGAAAACAGCAGGAATACTTTACCCTTGGAAGAGAAGCTTCCCAAAACTTGGGAAACTGCCTGCCTGCATTCAAGTCCCTCAATCCTGTCTCTAAACAATGCCTTGAAACCTGAAGCTTTTCAGTTCCATTTCCTGCAAGCCTCACATATTGGGCAGCCTCCTTGTTGAAGCCTAAACCTGTGTTACTTTAATTACAGTATTATTTATTTGCTGTGCAGGTGTTTTGCTGGGGAAAGGGAAGCTAGGGTGATTTCTTTAAATCAAAAATTGGTTACGGCTTCAGCTTTTATGAAAACAAAACCATTGTAAAACATTCCCCTCTGTTGAGACGAGCTCTTTTCCGTAATGCACTGAGACGCCTTAGAGCACTGAAAGTGTTCATAGTAGGATGGTGAAATATTTCACTTCTCTATCTATGCATATAAACTGAATCTCCAACAGGTAAAACTCATTACGTTGTTGAAATCCATCAGAGTTTTGTCACTGACATCACCAGGACGTAGATGGTT